CAGGGGCCCCCAGCCAAGCACAGCTCCAGATTTGTGGGCCCCATTCAGGTGCCATGGTTCATACCTGTAATCCCACCACTTTGGGAGGCTGAGGCAGAAGGATCTCTTGAGCCCAGGAGTTACATACAGACCAGCCTGGGCAACATAGCAAAACATTGTCTCTAAGGAAGTAAAAGCAAAGATAAAGAACTTCAAGATGGCAGCAGCAGAGCAGATCCTCCTCTACATGCTTGCCCAGTGCATGGCTGGACTTCTGCCTGCTCTGCCCCTCCTGGCTGTGCCCCTCTCCCTCGGGTGACTGATCAGAGCAGGTCCTCCCACTCCTGGCCGTGCCCCTCTCCTTCGGGTGACTGATCAGAGTGGGTCCTCCCACTCCTGGCCGTGCCCCTCTCCCTCGGGTGACTGATCAGAGCGGGTCCTCCCACACCTGGCCGTGCCCCTCTCCCTCAGGTGACTGATCAGAGCGGGAGCCCAGCTCCCAGAGTCAGGGGCACTGATTAATATTGGCACAGGCAGCAGAGAGCTGCTGAACCCTTCTGAACGTGGGGCAGGGAAAAAAGTTGAAGCATCTGCTATCTATCAATCAAAACGAATTTACTGTTGCTCTAAGGATGGCCACTGTAACAGGCCGCAGCCAACAGGTCACACGGTGTGATTTGTGCATGGGAAGCTGGTGCTCACGCCGGGTACGGAAGATTCAAAACCCCGAGGGGACCCGCTGCTCCACGGAACCCTATGGAAAGCTCAAGGAAGGCCGGGCTTCGGGGTCACAGGCCGGTGCCGGAGCTGCTCACACGGGCAGTGCTCGAGGGAGCCCTGGGAGGAGCCGTCAGCCCAGGCAGTGGGTGCAGATGGGCTCCGCCTTCACCGGCTCCGCCCAGCCCCTGGGTCGCCCACCACAGCCCCGGCCCAGATGGGCAGATGCCAAGCCGCACTCACCCTTAACTCACATCCTCACTACAACGTAGTTGTCGAGTAAATGCTCTCCATGGGTTAAAAATATAAGTAGAGATGGCCGGGCGCGGTGGCTCACGCCTGTAATCCCAGCACTTTGGGAGGCTGAGGCGGGTGGATCTCGAGGTCAGGAGATCGAGACCATCCTGGCAAACATGGTGAAACCCCGTCTCTACTAAAAATACATAAAATTAGCCAGGCGTGGTGACAGGCACCTGTAATCCCAGCTACTGGGGAGGCTGAGGCAGGAGAATGGTGTGAACTCAGGAGGCGGAGCTTGCAGTGAGCCGAGATTACGCCACTGCACTCCAGCCTGGGCGACAGAGCCAGACTCTGTCTCAAAAAAAAAAAAAAAAAAAAAAATACGTATATATATGTAGAGACATGAATGTCGATTCTTATGACACTTATTTATTCACGAAACCAGTGGCTTCGAGGCCGTAAATTCAGTCCCTGGGTTGACACCAAACGCCACTGTTGACTTTTCCTGCTGAATGGAGGAGCTGGGAGAAGCCTGCCTCCAGCTGGAGCCTCAGACCTGTGTCCACCTGGCAGGCCCCCAGCCAGGCAGGGACAGGCCACTGGGCAGGAGGCACTGGGGCATTGCTGGGGCTCAGGACACTTGCAGGATGAGTGAAGGAGGAGGAGAGGGAGGAAGGCAGAGAGGACCACCTCAGCCACTCTGACCTTGCGTCCTGGCCACGCCTGGGTTCTTAGAGGCAGGAGCTGGGGGGCCACAGGGCTGGGGGCCATACCCTCTTTCAGCTGCTGCCACCCTCCTTGGCAACGAACCCCAAAGCCCCCCTCACCTTGCGGTGCCACCCACAGGCCTGGCGCAGGTTCCACATGATCCATGTCAGTGTTTCCCACACAGGGTCAAGAATTACCAGGAAGCCGCTATCATGGCCCAGCCGCATCCATCAGCCACCATTCACCTCATTCTGGCCCCAGCTAATCACGTCAGGGTGGGGAGAAGCCCAGGAAGCCGGCTCCCCACCAGACCCCGGCTCAGCCCCACTGCCTGCCTGCATCATCTGAGCCCTTGGCCCTGGCCTGCCCTGACCCTCCTATCCCCAGGCCTGTTTCCAGCCTCCAGTATCTGAAAACAGAAAAGGACAGCGCCCTGCCCAGGGGCTTCCCTCATGACGGCCCCTGTGGGGAGTGAGGCCACCCCATTGCAGGTGGGCCTGTGCCAGCTGCACCTGAGGCAGGGTTGGGAGGAAATGACCACCCAGGTCAGCCAAGCCAAATGGGAACAGGATGCGGAGGAGCCCAGGGGGCCCGTGGCCTGCAGCCACCCCCACAGCAGCACGCCCAGGGCCGGGTGCATGGGGACCCCAGGCCCTCAGGGGAGAGCTGGACCTGAGTCCATAGTGGGCACGGGAACCAAACCAACCAGACCGCTGGACAGGGGCCTTCCAGCCCCATTGACCAGCCCCATGGCCAAATGGACATCAAAGCAGGAGTGCCGCGTGTCTGCCAAGAGCCAGAGCGGGAGGCTGGCGCAGCCCTCAGGCAGGTATGGGCACGCAGCCCTGACCTCGGCAAGGTCTTGCCTTTTTTTTTTTTTTTTTAGTCTAATTAAAGGTTGGTCAATTTTGTTTATCTTTTCAAAAAGCTAACTTTTTGCTTTGTTGATTCTTTGTCTTGTTTTCTAGTCTCTATTTTGTTTAGTTCTATCCCGATCTTTATGATTTCCTTCCTCTTATTAATTTGGGGTTTGGTTCATTCTTGCTTTTCAATTTCTTCAAGGTGCACTGTTAGGCTGTTTACTTGAAGTCTTTCTATCTTTATATATATAAAGTGTATCTCTTTATCTATCTAGATAGATAGATAGATGATAGATAGATACAAAGAGACAGGGACTCACTCTGTCAAACAAGCTGGAGTGCAGCGGTACAATCATGGCTACCTGCAGCCTCGACCTCCTGGGCTCAGGTGCTCCTCCCCACTCAGCCTCCCAAATAACTAGGACCACAGGCACATGGCACCACGTCCAGCTAATTTTTGTATTTTTAGTAGAGACAGAGTTTCATTATGTTGGCCAGGCTGGTCTTAAACTCCTGACCTTGTGATCCACCCGCCTCGGCCTCCCAAACTGCTGGGATTACAGGCATGAGCCACCATGCCTGGCCCTGACTGTGTATTTTCCAGTAGCTTGTCTTTGAGCTCATCGATTCTTTCCTCTGCTTGACCCATTCTGCGGTTGAGAGCCTCTATCAATTTTCCAGTTCAGCAGATGTTTTTCTCAGTTCCAATATTTCTGTTTGATTTTTTTTTTTTTTTTTTTTTTTTTTTGAGACGGAGTCTCGCTCTGTCGCCCAGGTTGGAGTGCTGTGGCCGGATCTCAGCTCACTGCAAGCTCTGCCTCCCGGGTTCACGCCATTCTCCTGCCTCAGCCTCCCGAGTAGCTGGGACTACAGGCGCCCGCCACGGCGCCCGGCTAGTTTTTTGTATTTTTTTAGTAGAGACGGGGTTTCACCATGCTAGCCAGGATGGTCTCGATCTCCTGACCTTGTGATCCACCCGTCTCGGCCTCCCAAAGTGCTGGGATTACAGGCTTGAGCCACCGCGCCCGGCCTTCTGTTTGATTTTTTAATTCCAATATCTTTGTTAAAATTCTCTGACAAGTCTCTGAATTGATTTTCTGGGTTGTCTTGGAGATCACTGAGTTTCCCCACAACTGCTATTTTGGATTCTTGATCAGAGGCTCACATGTGGCTATCTCATTAGGGACGAGATGCTTAGTCCCATTAAGGGGTTCGTAGTTCCCCGTTTGCTTGTTTCTTGTGAATGCACATCTATGTCTTTGCGTTGAAGGATTAGTTATTTATTCCAGTCTTCTCTGTCTGGCTTGTTTTGGTTTTTACTGGATATGTTTGTTTAGAGATTCTTTGCAATGTACCTGTTGAATTTTTTTTTCTGCTAGGTTGCTGCCTCCTTCTTCGGCACTAGAGGGCAACATAAGCCCAGGTTTTGCTCAGCTCCAATAAAGGATCAGAGTGAGGCTTCCCGTCCCAAATCCGGGAGGTCCCACAGGTGGATACCCCGGCAGTGTGGGAAGACTGGCGGGAGGTCTGCCCAGGGAACCTACGGACTGTGCCTCCTGCCGTGTAGCTCAACAGCCTGACTTGGTGCCTCCTTTGGCTGCATTACAGGGCAGCTTTTAGGGCTGGAGATGCTAGTCCCACCTCTTCCCTTTGTCTCTGGCTGGCCTCAGGGGTATTCCTCCTTTAAGCATTCTGAATGCTTCCCTTGGGTTGAAACAGAACAAGTCTCCTGCCAGGGAGCCCAAGATAGCAGGGAAGCTGGTAGTCCACCTTAATCTCATTTTTCCAGTGCAGAAGCTGTGAGTCAGAGGAGATGTGCCCACGCTTGGTGCAGGTAGACTGGGGAAAAGGGACATCATAGATACAGAATTCCAGTTCTCTTACTGCTTGCTCAGAGTTTATTCACTTCTCTGTGGCCCTGGGAACTGTCTATCTTCGTATCTGAGTTCTGGGATGTTGCTGGAGATTATCTTGGTGCTGAATATTTGTCTTGGATTTTCTGTGGCAGAGTGAAGCCAGCTGGCTTCTGTGCCGCCGTCTTGGAACTAACCATCTCCTCAATGTTTTTTTCATTTGCTTTTAATTCTAGGTGATAATAACAACTGAACTCCATAAACCAGCAGGTGCCACATGTGGGTGCATTTGCCACATATTGATCCTCCAAGGCGGGGGTTGGTTAACCCACCCTGGGCTCTACTTCCCACCCCCACCTGGCTATCCCGTGGGGGTTGCTGAACCCCAGAACCTGGCTGTCCTCACCTGTACAACAGGAGGGGGTGGGGAGTCAGAGGAGGCAGGGGGCCCTGGAGGGTCTTGGTGCTTCAGGGTGGGAGTCCCCACAGCTGGGCTGATGTTAAAACTCGGGCAAGGGACCAACAAGAGATGTGTTTCATTTGCAACAGGAGAAACACTGTAATGAGACAAGGTAGAGCTGCATTAAGAGTCGGTGAGCAAAACACTGTAAGTGAATCATAATTTCATGAAATATCCACACAGGACACTTTGGAATCATCGCAGCCGCTCTGAGCAGCCCGCCCTCCCGCTAACAATGCCCACGACAGCCTCAGAAACGGGAAAACAGATCGACTTTCTCCAAACTGCTCACGCCCCAAGCTAGGAAGGAGCAGCTTAACTTTGAGCCAATTCCAGAAGCAAACAGTGCTGGGTTTAGGGAAGGCGGAGCCGGACTCCATGTGAGGGCGTCGGATGCCAACCCTGCACAGTTGGATGGGGGGCTGCACCCAGGAGGAGCAGGTGCGGGGGACAAGGCCAGCTGGACACACCTGAGCGGGAAGCTGGGATCCCACACTGGATATGGAGCCCCCTGCCTGCACCCAAGACCCCACCAGCCAGTCATGGTGCCGACTCCAGACCCCCACCAGCCAGTCATCGTGCGGACTCCAGACCCCCACCAGCCAGTCATCGTGCCGACTCCAGACCCCCACCAGCCAGTCATCGAGCCGACTCCAGACCCCCACCAGCCAGTCATCGAGCCGACTCCAGACCCCCAACAGCCAGTCATCCTGCCGACTCCAGACCCCCACGAGCCAGTCAACCCAGGGAGGTGAGCATGACTCAGTGGGCGCCCCCACAGTGGGTCAGCTTCGCTAGGGCACAGCCCGGGAACCCAGGGAAAGTGAATTACTCTGCACTCTATTTTAAAGGCCTTTTCACATCAGCGTACTAAGTTCCTCCTCATTCTTTTTAACCCACTGCCAAGGGTTTTTCAGCCAAGGCAGGGCTGAGTGGTGTCAGAACAGGAGGCCACACTGTGAACTTGGTTCCCAAACATGGCGGCTTCGTGCCCTGAGTGTTCTGGGTCTCAGCTGCCCACCTCGAGGTGCTCCTCCGGGGGCTGGGAAGGCTCGAGGTTCTAGCCAGGTGGGGAGGCTGCAGGGAAGTCAGTGGGGTGCGGGTGGTGTGGGCACCTCCCCAGCCCCAGCCAGCTCCGGTCCTGGTGGTCTTGGGCCAGAATGGATCTGTTCATGAGGTGGGCGCCAGGCCCGTGGGCTCAGGGAGATGTCAAAGCCTCTGGTTTTGGTGGGAAAGGTAGGGGACTTCTTGCTCCCTCCTCCTCCTGAAAAGCCAAGACGCACCAACTTCCCGAACCTACACGCCCACCCTCCCCACACTGAAGCGGAGTGCGCGGCCCTAGAGGACTGAGGACCGTGGCCAGGGCGCGCCCTGGGAGAGACAACCCTGGAGAGCAAGACCGGGCGGCGGGCGAGTCCGGGATCTGCGTCTGAGCCACTGGGAACCCCTGAGCGCCGTCCACGGAGCTGAGGAAGGGGTCGCCCGACGGGATGAGAGCCGTCTACACAGCGCGCTTCCTCTTCTCTCGTTAGCGCCGCGGAACCAGCCTCTGGTTCTGCACCTCGGCTCTGGGAGCAGCGCCCGGCTTTGATGAGCGCTACCCCGGGACTGCCCAGCCTTTGCTCCGCTGGCCCCGCCAGGCTTGGCTCCGCGAAGCCCCCAGTGTCCAGCCCAAGGCCCCGATTCCGCAAGGACAGGGCCCTGGGGCAGCATTGGAGCAGGGCGCGGAGGCCAGTCCTCCGAGCATGAGGTTATTGCAGGTTTTGAGGAAAAAACAGCGACCCCACCCCCTCTAGAACGCGGTACCTTGTTTAAGGAAGTTCCTGGGCCTTCAGGGAGTCCCGCCGGCTCCTCGGCATCCCCCTTCCCCGCCTCCGCCTCTGCCGCACCACCGCCTCCCTGGGAACCTCCCCTCGGGCTGCGCTTTCAGCCAAACACCGGGAGGTCTTCCAGGAGCCTGCCCAGTCCCCACAGCAGCACAGAGACGCGCACTCCCACCTGTACCTGACAAGCCCTCAGAGACGGCGCCTGGACACGCCCCGCTTGGGAGGAGCTCCGCCTCAGCACCCCTGCAAGTGGCACAACCCAGAAAACCTGTGAGAGGCCTCTGAGCAGCCCAGAAAGTGGCTGGAAGGCGCACAGCAGCTCACCCCTCTGTAAGGGCAAGGACCAGACAACGCGCTGAGCCCTGCTTTTGCGGAGGGGGGACGCTCCAGGCCCGGCGCGCTCGGCAGGTGCCAATCCTATTTCACACCTTTGTGTTTACATCATCTTATTTTGCATTTTATGTCTAATTAATAACATGCAGCTGGCCAGGTGCAGTGGTTCGAGCCTGTAATCCCAGCACTTTGGGATGCTGAGGCAGGTGGATCACTTGAGGGCAGGAGTTTGGGACTAGCCTGCGCAACATAGCAAAACCCCATTGCCAATAAAAATAGAAAACTTTGCCAGCCGTGGTGGCAGGCATCTGCAGTCCAGGCTACTCCAGAAGCTGAGGCAGGAGAATCACTTGAACCCAGGAGGCGGAGGTGGCAGTGAGCTATCGAGCCACTGCACTCCAGCCAGGGCAACAGAGAGACTCTCTCAAAAAAAAAAAAAAAAAAAAAAAAATTGATATGCAGTTGACCACATATTATGTGGTCACTCCAGGCAGTACCGCTCCCCCGCCACCTCAGCCCTCTGTCCCTACAGCTCCAGGCCCTCCCCAGCCCCTCCCCTGGACAAGACATGATGCCCAGAGGGTGAAAATCCACCAAGGTTAAGCCAGAAACAAAAAGCTCAAAGCTTCAGCATCTCCCTCCGCTCAGACCCATACTTAGAAAGCAGATTCCGCTCGACAGCACCATGAGGCTGTGGGTGTCAGAGAAGGGGCACAAACTGCACCTGCCCTTAGCTGGGCCTCTCGGCAGCCCTGAGTGCTCCTGGGCTCCCCCTGGCTCCTGCACCCGCTTCCCTTCTGCGTGGGCGGTGGGTGATCCCGGGGGCCCCCAGCTGCTGGCGGTGGGGCGGGGCCTGCCGGGCGGGGCTGGCTGTGGGAAGGAGAGCCACGACAGACAGGAAGCACCTGCCAGACGCAGGACAGAAACTATCTAAGGAAGATTTTATTTCCAAGTGTCTATGGAGATGTTACAAACGGTGTAGGCTTAAAAAGCATTTAAAACTTTTATGTAATTAAAATTTTAAAATAAAATATGATCAGGTGAAATAATACTGCCATCCCATGACAATTTTTAAGATAAAGGCGTGTCCCCGCCCCTCGCAGTCAGCACCCCACCTGTCCTCGGGGCTCACCCAGCCGTCTAGGGCTGTAGGAATAAAATGGCCACACCGTCCAAATCTTGACTTTATTTTTAATATAAAAAATGCAAATTTGGAAACCCACCCTACTTTCCCCAACATAATGCTTTACCTCTTAAAAATAAAAATAAAGTACTAATTCTATATACATCACATGTACCATACAAAAATGTATCCAAAGTTTCTATTGCTACCAAAGTGTTCTAAATTAAAACAAGTTACAGAAAGCCCCTCATTGTAAACAAAAGATTACAAGTTATAAAATCAAAGTACACACAGGCCAGAGTCATTTATACAACGCAATGCATTCTGCTCCCAAGCCGAGTTGAATTTTTATGTGCCTGTATAAAAATGCATATCAATATACCTTTGCAAATGTATTTTTCATTATAAAGCAAATGAATACACTTTCTACAATAAATAATCCGCTGGGAGGCACACCTGTGGGGTGGAGGCGGGCGGGACGGCGGGCGCGGGCAGCGGGCGTTTTTGGTGATCTGCAAGTGATGTGCACAGCATAACTTTATTCTCCCCTTTCCACAAAGTACCATTCAAAATAATGTCCTTTTCTTTCTTAAAATACACATTTGTCATTGTAAATTTACATCCATCTTATTAAATAAGTGGTACTCTGTGTAAAGAGGATGATTTACAAAATTATTAAACATTCAAAAGTCTTTAAGAAAAAGCTACATGTCAAAGAAAGTGACGCCAGCAGCACGGCCCGGGGTCGTGTGACAGACGCACTGCGCTGCCCGGACGCCCACCCCACTCACAGCGCCCAGACGGAGATGGGTTCCTAGAAAACGTGGAAATAAAACCTCCCCCTCCCTGGGGAAAAAGAATTAAAGAGCTACAACTAAAAACCAGAATAAGTTAAGTTTTGAACAATATACAAACATGTACAGCTTATCAACACTATGGACAAGACCCGCACTGGCAGCCGGGCCGTCAGTCAATGTCACTGAGGTCGCTGGTCGGCTCCCCGTGGACGCGGCTCAGGTGGTTCATAGCGCGGTCAAAAGCGATCCGCACGGCCTTCCGGATGCTGGAGTTCCTCCCTTCCATCATCTTTAACTTGTCTATAGTTTCGTCAATACCAAGGGGAACCATTTTGGACTTAGGAAGCCACTGCCTTTTTAAAAGGAAAAACATGGGGAAATCATTGCTTGCACGTGGTGCTTCAACGTGCTCCATGTAATCATCTAACACATCCACTGCCCTCTGATAGAAAGGGACCCTGCTCAGCACCACCAAGACAGCTGGGCCCTGTGTAGGGACAGGCCCGAGGCCAGCGGTGCACCCCTCCCTTCCCCTCCCCGGCTTGGGGATATGGGGAGTTAAGTAAGGCAGAAAAACCATCACCTCCTCCTCCACCTCCAAAACGTTTCCCAGTGCCTGCCAAGTGACAAGACATGCACACACGAAGCCCAGAGCCAGGCTGGGCCCCGGAGCAGGAGCTGGTGGTTGGGGAGACCCCATCAAAGGGGCCCTCGGATGGACAAGGTGTGGGCCTCGCTCAGGGCCTGACAAGGAGCAACGGCCATGTGGCCAAAGAGGCAGAGGTCGGGGCAATGAAGAGAAAGACGGTAGGGATGCCTGTGTTGCCAGCCATGCTCCAGGCACACCGTACGCAGGTGGCCCTGAGCCTCTGCACCAGGTCCCCAGAGCAGCCAGCTCCATGGGGAACCAGGAAGCACCTGCCTGGGCCATGAGCGCAGGGCACAGCTGGGGCTACATCTCTTCCCAGAGGCGTGTGCTGCCAGCGTGTCCTACACAGAGGGGTCTTGGGGTCTGAACCCTGGCACATCAGAGTCTCAGGCACTGTGCGAAAAAGCAGCCCAGGGCATAGGGGGAGCCTCCTGTGATGGGGTAGACGTCTGAGCAGAGCTGGGTGACGCCAGGACGGAAGGCTCTAAGCACAGGGCCAGAGGCCAGGCCCGGGCGGGGGCCGTGTCCTGCAGCACAGGGGTCCAGGAGCCCAGCAGTGGGACCCCCAACACTACAGCGGACATGGGTAAGGAATAGAGAAGAGATAGCCCAGGCCAATGGGGCTCAGGCGAGAGGGAAACGAAGCCATCAGACAGAGACAGACCCTGTGCTCAGTGCCCATCCCACAGTCCCAGCAGGGGTGCTGGGCAGTGCCCTTCTCCACTAGGCAAACAGCAGAGCACCCACCTCCGACTTTAGCTGTGCCAGGGCCCAGCAGATAAAGCGGCTGCTCACCACAGGGACACTCAGGTCACCAAGCCCACGGCCCCCACACAACCACCCCAGCCGGTCCCCGGAGTCTAAGGCCTCTTGACTCACCAACTTCTCTTATTATCAAAAAAGAGAACGAGGAACAGCTTCTCGTCGGACTTGGTCTGCATGTGCTCCCCAATCTTCAGCACGTCTAGGGGTGGGGCCGGGATGGTGACACCGTTGTGGTGGCCAGGCACGCGCGGCATCTTGGGGTCAATGATCTGCACGAGAAGGACCCACTGAGGTCACTGTGAGGCTCACACCCACAGACGACTGCACCTGTCACCGCACCCCCCCCACCCCCCCCAGCTGTGTGAGCCTCCTGGGGACCACCCCACCCCCCCAGCTGTGTGAGCCTCCTTGGACCACCCCCGCCCCCCAGCTGTGTGAGCCTCCTGGGGACCCGCAGGTGCTGGGGCCCTGGGCACCACGAGAGCCATACTCACCAGTGCCGGGTAGGAGGGGTAGCCGCTGCACTTGGCCCACACCACCTTCAGGGGCTCCAGCACTGAGGCGGCAGCATCGGTGGAGATCCACATGCTGTTCTGGCCAACTTCTGCAGAGAGAGGCACGGCGTCAGCAGGACAGAGGGGGCATGCCCTGCCCCCCCCACAGAAGGTACACAGCAACAGGGTGGGGTCTCCGGAGCACAGCCCACTTCCCAGGCCTTTCTCACCCACCCCCAGCAGCACCACTGCCTCTCTTGTGGAGTCCAGGCCCCTGCATCCCGCCCTGTCTCTGCAGCCCACCTGGGGACCCACTAGCCTCCCACAGACCCAGAGAATCTCCTGCCCTCCGGGCTGGAAGCCTCTGACTCCAGGTGCCCAGCACAGTCCCTTCTGAGACCTCCTTGCCCCAAGGATGGGGCTCCCAGCGTGCTCCTGCCTCATTTATGCAGCTGACACCCCAAATCCGAAACCAAAGTCCTGCCTCCCCCTCCGCCAGACCAGCTCCCTGCTCTCCCTCCCACCGGGGGGGTCTCTGTCCTGATGCCCCCTCACAGCATGGCTGCCTTCCACAGCGAGGGCCGTGCCAACCCCAAACCCCAAGGCCTCCCCCTCTCCCAGGAGCCTGAAGTTGGGGGCACCCACTCTGCAGTCAGTCCCCTGTGCAGCCACAAATGACCACTGAACCTAAACAACCCCAGACAGCCTTGACAGTGCCCGGCAGCCAGGAGCCACACAGAGCTGGACGTTCCACAGGGAAACGAAGGCAGGATGGAGGAGGTGCCACCTCCACAGGCACCCCAGCAGGGCTGCAGCCCAGAGCCCCTCGGTGTATGATGAACCCCTCCCCAGGAGGTTGGCCAGGGTGGGGCTCCACACAGGGCACTGTGCTCCCTGAGCCAGAGTCCAGTCCCCAGCAGAGTCGAGCCCTAAGACGCTAACAAGGAGGTGTGGAGAGCCACGGACGCAGGTCTGGGCGACTCACCGGCTGCGATCCTGGCCGCCTTGGCGTAGTTCCCATTCTCGATGCAGGAGATCAGCTCACTGCGGTCCTCCAGCGTGTGCCTTCGCACAAGAGCCGGTTTGCCCCGCCCACATTTGGGCACACTAAAGCTTCGGGAGGAAGAGCAGAGGGAGTCAGGTGTCCCACCCCGGCTTCAGCCTCACTCAGGTTTCGTCCTGTGGGCTGCCCGCCACCAAGCTGGCCACGCGTCCTGCCTGACACCCCTGCAGCCAGGCAGGCCTGTGGGTGCACAGGTCTGGAGGGAGTGAGCCTGTGGCAAGGGGTACTCAGGAGGCCAATGAGACAGGCAGGGCTGTGCTCACTGCCAGATTCTGGGAGGAAAATATCAAGTATAAACTTAATTGCAGTTTCTAAAATTGTGTTCCTATTTCACGTGGTGTTTTTCCTACTTCTGCTTGAATTCTACAAAGCAGATTAATATGTAGCACGGGAAACCACCCACAAGAGCACAGCACACATGAATCCCGGGCCAGAATTTTTCAGAGGGCACTAAGATGGGAGCTAGAGCATCCTGGTCTCCAGGACAGCCAGGCAGGGCGGGTGGCTCGGGAGCTGCGCGGCAGGAAGTGTGGGGCCGCGGTGCCCACCTCGAGTCGCAGAGCGGGCTGTTGCTGGAGGAGATGCTGGACTCCGAGGCGCAGCGTCGACGGGGTGTGGCTTTCCTCCCCAGGCCACCGCCTGGCTCCTGCTCGCTCCTCGCACCCCCAAAGCCGTTGGTGAGACCTGGAACACAGGCAGGCCAGCCTTGAGCTCAGCGCAACCAGGGCGTGCCCAAGCAAGACTCAACTAGGTTACACTTGGAACACATCTTACAAGGAACGTTTCACAGACAGGTAAGACAGCATCTTCCTTTTTACTCCCAGAGTACAGTCCTTACAGTAAGCAGACACCAAAGTTACTCGTTAAATGAAATCAATGTAACAAACTGCAGTCAGCTCTGACCACAGTAGTTTGCTGAGCACTGTGAAGATGCTCCTCTTGACAAGCCCAGGTCTTTAAACAGGCTCTGTGAAGGCAAAGAAAGGATGCCGTGAGCCTGCCACAGGAGCAGATGTGCAACCTGTGAGTGCAAACACGGGGGTGGCCTGTCCACGTGGGCACATGCCACATCGGGACGGACCCTTCAGCAGGCTGAAGGGGTCACCAAAGACACAAAATCGTGTTCACAGGAGCAGAGTTCCAGGGAACAGGAAATCAGGTTTTAAAAAGAAAAAACCTTGGTTCAAAAGACAAGTGTTAACATGAAGTCAAAAATGCTGACGAAACACTTTAAAACACAGAATCCGGGGCCATCGCCGTGTGTGTGTCCGGCCTCACTCACTATGAAGCTGTGATCACTGGCATTCAAGTATTATACACAGCTACACAAAACACAGTCTACAATTCCATCATCTCAACATTTGAAAAACAAGGCAAATCTCAGTATTTTCCCCCTAAAAAGGCCTGACTTTATGTCAGTCAACAGGAAACAACACATGTGCCCAAGGTCCCCCCATGAGGTCCCCCACGGGAGTCACAACAGGGGACAATGTTCCCACCAGAGCAGTCTCTGGGTGTGAGAGCTGAAGCGGTGTGTGAATTTTTTTTTTTTTTTTTTGAGACGGAGTCTCGCTCTGTGGCCCAGGCTGGAGTGAGCGGCGCCATCTTGGCTCACTGCAAGCTCCGCCCCCCAGGTTCCCGCCATTCTCCCTGCCTCAGCCTCCCGAGTAGCTGCGACTACAGGCGCCCCCCACCTCGCCCGGCTAGTTTTTTGTATTTTTAGTAGAGACGGGGTTTCACCGTGTTAGCCAGGATGGCCTCCATCTCCTGACCTCGTGATCCGCCCGTCTCAGCCTCCCAAAGTGCTGGGAGTACAGGCGTGAGCCACCGCACCTAGCTGTGTGAATTTTTTTATCCAAAAAGAACCCCATTTTCTTGCCTACCTCATCCTTAAAATTTTTTACATCTATTTCCAAAGGAAACTGTGTAAATTTGTAAATAAAGCATTAATGTAGAATTTTTTTTGGGAAACGATGTCTTGCTCTGTCACCCAGGATGGAGTGCAATGGACTCCACAGCTCACTGCAACCTCGACCTCCTGGGCTCAAGTGATCCTCCTGCTTCAGCCTCCCGAGTGGCTGGGAGACATGTTTCGAAGGGAATGGCTGGACTGCGGGTTTTCCACCCGCTTCGAACGCTTCCCGTCTGTTCTCAATGAGCACGACTGACTGAAACAGATGGGCTAAATCAACCTCGGTGAACAGCTCAGGAGGAAACGCGCAGACTAGGCGGGTGCCGTGCTGCCCTCCACAGACTCAAGTCAGACCCTCGCTCTGTGTCTGCTGGACTGGAATGTACCGTGAGCTCCAAACGAAGCTCTGTGTTTCTCATTTTAACCTCGGTCATTTTAAGGCAGGAAATACGGCCAGGTGGGGGTGTCATACTCATTTTTGGCAAGGGAACAAATAAACGCAAGAATCTACAGTAGAAGGCCTTGAGCCACACGCTGAGCTGCCCCAGGGCTCCACATCCTCCCCACACTCATCACAGAGCGGCTCAGACCCTGCACACTGAGGCCCTGAAGGTGTCTCAAGAGGGAGTTAAAAGTCCTGTCCTGGCCCCTGAGGACCCCTCAGGAGCAAGGACTCCATCCCTACTCCCACCTGAGTGGGTGAAGGCAGGGGAAGCCCACTCAGCTTGCATCAGCAGTGGACGGACGGAGCCCAGCACCCCTGCCAGCGTTCAGCCCACAGGCCCAGGGACGGGTCTGCCAACGTGTGTGAGCCGTCTCCAGACAGCAGCCACCAGCCTGGCAACCCACACCCCACAGCCAGGCCCCCAGCGCACTTCAGACCCCAGGTACAGGGTGAGCCTGCTCCAGGCTGAGCAGACGCGGCCCAGGGCCTGGGTGGGGAGGCTTTGAGTAGTTACTGCTCTGGCGAGCAATGGCCACCTGGGGGAAGACGAGGACTAGTGCAGCCTTCACAAGACTGCCCAGTGACGCCAGCCTGAGGGCCCCAGCACCAGAGCACCGGCAGCTGTGCTGGAACCTGCAGCCCCAACACAGCCAGGCCACGCACAGGCCACTCACTAGCCATGACGGCCCCAGCTCCATGAGCACCACCGCATGGAGTGGGGCCAGGCAGGGGATTAAAACACAAGGCAAGTCCTTAATTCTCAGAAAGAGGAGAATGATAAAATGCCCCTCTTAATTTTCCTAAGCATTCAGTGAGTGCACATATGACGCAAGTACACACAGAGGTTCCGCGTGTCACCCTTGAAAATGTGACAGCGCCCAGGAAGATGTGGGCAGCACGGACAAACCCAGACCAACCAAGACGCCACCCAGCAAGAGGCCTGGTGGGGGCGCGATGGCCGCAGGGCCTGACAGGCAGTTCGGGGGTTACAGCAGTGCAGGGTCACCCCAGAGGCCAGACCAGGCCACAGACACCCGGGAGGCTCTGCGGCCACTGCCTGGAGTCCCCAGAACCTCAGGGGAGCTTCGAGGTGGCCTGTGCTGCCCAGACCCTCCCAGCCTCCACCTGGGCCACCAGAAAATAATCTAAGACAGCTATGGTTCTGAGATCTCTCCATCTCAGCCCTGCCAACTCCCACCCTGTGAGGCTCTTCTGGCCAGCTGGGAGATGTCCATCATGACACGCACCCTCGGCACCCCTGCAAGGACCTCAGCCCAGAACATTCTGAAGCCCAGGCCAGCCTTGAGGTGGGAGCCAACATGGGGAACCCAGGGCCTGAGGTCTGCAGAGATGGGTGCCTGGTCCATGAGGCATTTGCAAACTGCAAGCACTGACATCGGGCCCAAGTCTCTAAATTGTGTATACAGCAGGGGGCAACTTTCAGCAACTTTTTCAGCACGAGGTGTTTTTTTTTTTTTTTTTTTTTTTTTTTTGAGACGGAGTCTTGCTCTGTCGCCCGGGCTGGAGTGCAGTGGCCGGATCTCAGCTCACTGCAAACTCCGCCTCCCGGGTTTACGCCATTCTCCTGCCTCAGCCTCCCGAGTAGCGGGGACTACAGGCGCCCGCCACTTCGCCCGGCTAGTTTTTTGTGTTTTTAGTAGAGACGGGGTTTCACCGTGTTAGCCAGGATGGTCTCGATCTCCTGACCTCATGATCCGCCCATCTCGGCCTCCCAAAGTGCTGGGATTACAGGCTTGAGCCACCGCGCCCGGCCCACGAGGTGTTTTTTTTTAATGCTGAAAGTAAAGCTAGTGATTGTGCAAAATACATTAAAAGAGGCGGCGGCTGCCAGGGAAGGGCCACTGTCCCCTCAACACAGGAGCTGCACAAATTCCCACAGTGGCCAGGGTCTGCCCACCCTCAAGGGGCCTTCCCAGTGACTTCCTAGGAGGCCAAAGACTGAAGACAGAAACGTCCCTCTCTGCTCCCAAAGGAGATGGCACAAAGGAGATGGCGCAAAGGTGTCCCACAGCCCAGTCAAGCGTGGTCCCTGGAAGCCTGCCTGTCACCAGGTATATCCACAGCACACCTGTAACTGTCCTGGGAGGTCCCCAAAGGGTCTTCTGAGAGACTGCAGGCCACGGCAGCTGGGACACCGCCCCTCCCCACAGGGAAGAGAAGCCCCAGGGCCCACCTGGGGAGGCGGAGGCCTGCAGGTCTGACTGATGGGCCATAGTCTCCTCTAGCCTCAAGTTCCCAGCCCCTAACCCATATGGACACCACAAATCCTCCAGGCCACAGGTGCAAGAACACCAGGCCCTGATCATGGCTGCCGAGACGCCTGAGGGCAGGGAGCCGTGGGAACACATCCCCGAAGCCCAGGATACAAGCCCGCCCCTGCCCACCCCTGCCACCAGCACCCAAGCTGCCGCCTCGGCTTCTCTGGCTCATAGGAAGCTTGGCTGTATGAAGCAGGTGGGCTGAGCCTGCACCCCAAAGACCTGAGCCCTGAGGGCCCCACGCAGTGGCAAAGGCTCTAGCATCCACGCTGCCTCAGAGGTGGGAGAGCCCACTATTTTCTGTTTTCAGTTTCACTTTTACCGTCGTTAAAAGGAGAGCATTTTTGGTGCATTTTTCAACCTCTCAATAAAAACACACACAGAAGAAGAGTCCAACAGCACTCTGCTCTTGCTGGGACCCGCTCCGTGATAACACAGCCGGGACGGTCAGAGACAGACCCAAAGCCCAGGCCAGACGCCTGCACAAGACTTGCTGGGACCTGCTCCATGACAGTGTAGCTGGGGACAGTCAGAGACAGACCCAAGGCCCATCTCGCCGGGACCCGCTCCGTGGCGATGCAGCCGGGATGGTCAGAGACAGACCCGAGGCCCAGGCTAGACGCCTGCACAAGATCCCAGGCGTCCAGGGATGCCCCATCCAACGAGCAGGACTTCTCAGTTGGCCGCAGGGACACTCAGCGTGGCAGCCAGCAAGAGATAAACAGCAGCACCGCTCAAGAATCCACTGGGGATTATGGGGAGAAAACAGAGGAAGGGGAAGTAAGGGGAGAAGAAAATCAGGTAGAAAACCCAGAAATAGAGAAGATGCTAGCAAGTGAGTGAGCACGCACTGTCCATGCCACATCCTCAGATGGCACCAAGTTCCACCATACCCCACAGCACCAACACAGCACAACGCGCCTGGGCATGGCCGCCGCACACGAACCAAAGGTCACTACGGGATGGCTCCACACGCTCAGGACAGCCTCAGAATGCTGTCCACTGTGTCGTCGGCTGCAGCAGGCTCCCAGCCGGTGCCGGGCTCTCCTCTGCGTCCTTTGTGACTATCCAGAGGGAAGGCTGAGGCGCCGCGACATCCCACCAGCTCCAGGCGTGCACCGGGCGCCAGCACCATTCCCACTGCCGGGCTGACTTACAGAGGGGGCGGGCTGGGGTAGGGGAGAGCTCCTCCAGGGCTGCTGTTTGTGTTTGTGTTTAGAGGATGTTTGAGCTGATGATTCCAATGGGATCCGCAAGAATTAAGTGAAAGGCAAGATGCAGTGATCTTTGTGTGTTCCAAAACGGCCGCTTAGCAGAACTCCAGTCCAAGTTGAGGTAAGAGAAAATGATTAGGGTCCAAAGAGTGAACTACCCAGCACATTAGTGGTTAAAGTGAGAACCTGGAAAACAGTGAAAAAGCCATTTAGTCTGAATGAAAGGGCAGGACAGCTCAGCCTCCTCCCTGAACCGCCGAAGGACACCAAAGACACCTCCGCGCTCTCACGCCCCACCACGTGCACACGCAGACTCTCGCGGCAGGGGTCTCCGAAGGGCGGTGAGTGGACAAAGACACCCCCCGCGGTCTCACACCCCAGCATGCGCACATGGAGACTCGCGGCAGGGGTCTCCGCAGGGGCGGCGAGTGGAACACCGCTTCAGGTGACGGTTCACTGCTGGCGAGCGCGCAGCCGCGGGGGAAGGAAGCCACGAGCCAGGGCCAGCCTCTGGGGCTGGGCCATCGCGGAAGCAGAAGGCCGCTGCACCGCACTCAGGCGGGAGGCCCACAGTGAGCGCTTCGCCTCCGGACCAGCAACCCTGTTCAGCCTGACTCAGAATCGTGCGCGTGCTGGGAAATGCCAGAGCACTCCTTCAAGTTCAGAGCACACAGATGAATGTTTGGAAAACATCAGAAGGTTCCGAATAATTCCTGTCCTAAGACTGAGAAGAACTGCAGCTCGGAGCAAGAAATCCCCCGTGTGCAGAGCACCAAGAAGGTTCCGGTGAACCCAAAGCGAGGGCGGATGGTGGGACTGGCACCATTCAGAGCACGCCCAGCCCTCCCCCGGGCACCGTGGCCGCAGCAGTGAAATGCTCCTGCTCCCGAGGGCCTGGTCTTAATGCTGCTGAGGCTCCCAGCTGCTCAGGAGAGAGCTCAGGAACTCACCGCGCCTCCACGGAAATCCACTGTCACTCGGGAATGAGAGAGCAGAAACTCTCCACTTCAGCCAGGATCAAAGGGCACCACGATTCTCAAAAGCCACCATGGGCCACGCTCACTGAAGGTGTGCGGTGAGACTGCTCTACAGCACTGTCACCACGGGAATCCCGCACAACACTCCAGTGCAGGACAGTGGCCTGGAGGGGACACGTGCTCTTCTACAGGGGACATCTGATGCGCGAGCCTGAGCGGCTGCTGAGGACGTGGCCGGCAAAACCCTGTCCACGGTGCGAGCCACAGCCGGGGCAGGGCCCGGTCGCTGGCGCCCCCTGGTGGAAGCCGCCACACGAGCATCCTGCCGAGTGTGGAGGGGAGGCCGCCCCAAGCCCCGCCCCGCGGCCAGCAGGACCTCCAGGCACAGAGCCCCACACCTCCGCCACCGACAGGCGTGAAACCCCCAGGAAGCGGAGCGCCCGCCGAACTCCAAGTTCTGCGTGCGGAGGGGACGCCCACACCTGCACCGAACCAACCTCTAGTACCCAGCGCACAGCACCCTGACCCGATTCATCGCAGGACTTTCAGGGCGCTTGGAAAACCAGGTCAGAGCGTCTTTCGCCAAAGGTGGCTGAGAAAGGCCAATGTGGTTAAGAGACATCCCCAAGTCCTGAGTCAAGGGCCATCTATCCTTATCGGTATCTTGTGAAGGATTTCAATAGCCTCATATTACTTAGAAATCAAAAAAGCTTTTTCAAATTATTTTAAAATGCCAATTTAGTATCAATCCATCAAAGTAAAAGCACATGGGCAGAAAATTTCTATACAATTCATCTATGTGCAAAATTTTCATACAAATCAAAATGAAATTTACCAGAAATTACTTTGGCAACAAGAGGCATGACCTGCTCGCTGGCAAGGGTGGGAAGTGCCCTTCCTTCCACACAAAGACCTAAAGACAGCACCTGGTCTCGCTCCCCTCCCCGACGCTTCAGGCCAGAGACCAGCAGAAGCAGCAGGGTCAAGATGTGAAGAGTGGCCTGGGCGGGTCTCGCCCACCACAGCCTTCCGTCTGCGACCGGCCCGGCGAGGCTCCACGACACAGGGCTCACTCGCCGCCCCTCTGGGAAATGAGCAACACCCACCTAGCCCCACTCTCTCTCGCTGCCGAAGTGCACGAGGAACCACTGCACACCAGCACAGCCAGAAGAAAACACGCTTCCCCTTATTTAGGTATAACAGGCAGACAGGACAGCCGGGAACCAAGCCTTGACTTGGGACAAAAACCAGAATGACAAACATGCTCCAAACACGCTTCCAGAAAGGAGACACTGGCAGCCTGACCTGGCACCTCCAGAAGCACAGCCAGGACTGAACAAGCAAACCAAAGACAGGGGTTCCTCTTAAAAGGACACAAACTCCTCGACTTCCTCTGAGGGGCGGGGAGCAGAGGCTGCAGGAACACAGCTGCCCTCCTCAAATGCTCTCGGCACACACGCACACACGGGAACACCCTCGCCGAGTAATTCAACAGAGTTCAGTTACGAAAGCACAGGAAGAGATGAGAAGCACTTTCCGGTGCTATTTCGGCAGGTCCTAATACCTCATCACATATGTGGCTAACAGGGCCACAAAAAACAGTGAGGAAACGTTGCTGAAATCAACTGCAAAGTACTGCATTTACCATGAGGGCAGGTCCTCTCAGAGGCCCAGGAAGGGCCAGGCTCAACCCCGGTGTCCTAGGTCTGTGGGGCTGCAGGAGACCTGACTGAGGGGTGCAGAGTGGAGCTCCCACAAGTGCTGGGAGCGGCCAGTCACCAGTTTACCCAGATGTGCACAGCAAAGTCAAGATGACCAATTAAAGCTACACTTGAATTCATTCTCAGTACTTTTTTAAAGATCAAAAGGGGCCAGGTGCAGTGGTTCAGACATCTAATCCCAACACTTTGGGAGTCAGAGGCCAGGAGTTCAAGACCAGCCAGGAGAACACAGTGAGACCCCATCTCTACCAAAAATTTTCAACTTAGCTGGGAGTGGTGGTGTGCACCTGTAGTCCCAGCTACACAGGAGGCTGAGGCAGGAGAATCACTCGAGCCCAGGCGTTGGAGGCTGCAGTGAGCCACTCACTCTAGCCTGGGTGACAGGGCAAGACTCTCTCTTAAAAAAAAAAAAAATCAGAGAGGAAGTATGCGCAGAAGACAGGACCAAGGACCACTGACCCCCGGCCCAGGGCAGCCCAGCAAGGCTGCACAATCTCTCGTGGCAAACAGATCCCCCCATGAGGGCGCCGACCTCAGAACCGCAATTCAAGGCTTTTGAAAGAAAAAACTGCACTGCTGTCTTCCCTGGAAATTCAGAGAATGCTGCAAAAACAGAAGCTGGGCACCCCCGCAACACACCAAGGATCCTGAAGGACGCTCCCGGCACCGGTCGGCAAGGGCGCCTCTCAGGGCCGCCCGCGGCATTTACCTGCATCCAGGCGCTTTCCTGGGGACTCCTCCTCCACCTCGGAGTCTCCGCATGTGCTCCGCGACCTTTTCCTTGGCTGCAGAAGAGTCTCCAACCTCGGAAGGACTACAGACAAAAAGGTTTTGGTCCCTAGCTGAGGAGAAGTTGGCTGGGTTTCAGTGTTCTTGGCAGACTTTGGGGGGCTTACACTTTTCGATTTGCAGAAGAGAACAGAAGTGCGTCTGTTTACATCGCTTGCTGGCTCCGCCACCGCGGAGGCCGCCGCCGCCGGCACATCGCCACTACTGGCGCGGGTGGGCTCTGGAGGGCGTCCGCTTACCAGTGCGCTCTGAGTGCAAGCGCTATGTGATTCATTATCAAATGTGACTCTTTTGAAAAGTTTACTCTGCTCTGGGTTGAGTTCTACTGGTTTGAGGGTTGGTGGTTCTGAATTAGTCTCCGAGTTTGAAGGAAGAGGTAATGCATCTGATGGTTCAAGTTTAGGGGGAGAGTTATCTCCTGAAAAAATTATAAATAAAGTGATTTTTGAAAACTGAAGATTATAAAATCTATTATAAAACTTACTATAAATGTGAAGCCCACCAAAATACTAATTCAGTTAAGGAAACAACGCATCGCACGTACTGTCTGCTCGGCAGTGCGGCCCCGTGGGCTCGGGCCACACTGTGTGGGCTTCCCTAACGCCAAAGGCTGTGGCCCTGGGTGCAGTGCCCGGGCGCACAGTTACTCTCTGAAAAAAACTGTGAAAGATTATTTCACACGCGCCAATATTAAAACACATCACTCAAGTTCATAACAATTTCTGCAATCAATAATTCACTTACCTTGAGGAAGAAAAGGTATCTCACATAACTAAAGGAGCCTTAAGTGGGCATTCCCACAGAGCTCTACTGGGCCACGAGGTTCGCAAATAAAAGGAAAGAAACATTAAATCTGATCTCTGCTCAAGGTCTTCCAAGTCAAAAATGCAAAAAAAGCAAACAAAAAAAGAAAAAAACGGAGTGGTGACTGGCTGTGGATGACTCTCAAGAAAGGCAGGAAAAAAAGCCCCATTCACCCCAGCGCAGAAGTCTGTGCCACGTTCCCAAATACTGTGATGGGAGTTTTCAGGGAAAAAAAAAATGTTTTTTAAATAAGAAGTCTTTAGAAAAAGACTAACCTCTTTGTAAAGCCTTTTTGACATTATAAAAACCAGAAGTGTGAAATGGTACAGAGCCCGCGGTCAGGGGGACGGGCTCTGTGCACTGCCCTGAGTCCAGGAGGCTGGGCAGGCTCTGGCACAAGGCTGATGGGGCGAGGCGATGCCACACCAGGCCAACTACTGAGGCTTCTTCCCAAGCAGGACCGGTGCTGGCAACAGGAAGTGTGACCACTTTAATCCTTAGTATATATTGTCACTGGGTACAGCTTTCATTTCATTAAACCTGCAAACTTTTCTAAAACCGTCTGAAGTATGTATGGTTACTATTGTAATTCAAAAAGTCGTTTTGAAAATACAAAACTACACAACAAGACTCAGAGCAATGTTTTGAGACTGACAGAAAAAGTTCTCCCCAAGGCTGGGTCCCATGACGCCGGGCAGCAGTGCTTTTGGCTGCAAGGTGCCTCTGATTTCAAATGACACTGAGCGCCTTAGAGCGCCTCACAGCCGATTCAAATACAACGGGGAAAGCCTCACTTCAACAAAAAGTCACCCATGCCAGCCGCTGGGAGCACAGCTGTCACGTGGGAACGCTGTATCCCAAGGCAGGGGCACACGCGAGGTGACAAAACTCCTTCCCCTCCTGTTCAACGTCGCCAACAGGCTTAAGGAAAAGGTGTTTGTGAAACACCTGGCAATGCTGGCCGGAGGGAACTGGGCAATGCGGAGAAACAAGGCTGCTCATCTCCGGCTCCAGCGTCCCTGGGCCTGTGCAGCAGCCGGCGGGGCTCCAGCACGGAGTCTGCAGCGTCCTGACACAGCCAGTGTCTGGGGCACAAGGCCTGGGGCCTCACTTCACTTCCTGCCTCCTCTTCCACCTCCTGGCCCCCTCGAGCTCTCGTCCTGATCATGACATCCAACTGCTCACTGCAATCCCAACGGCCTCTGCAGGGCCAAAGCCAGTGGTCAACCCCAGTCTTGGCCTCTGTGAGCACAAGAGCACCAGGCCAGCAGAGATGGAGCCTGAAGGAGCCTCCTCCCAGCACCTCCAAGAGATCCCCTTCCCCCTACCTCTTCCACAGCTATCTAACAGGCACTGTCAACCACCATCTCCTGCTTCTGGCGCAACCCTCAGAACCACCACTCCTGTCTGGCAGCAGCCCTGAGACGTGCACACGTCCCTGCCTTGCAGAGGGCCCTCCCCCACCATGGGCCACACCCCCTCCTCCACACCTCCAGCTCTCGGCCCAGCAAGGATGCCCCATGTGGGACTCATAACCATCTCCACGCTGCAGGGACTTCCCCAACCCCTGGTCTATCCCAAAGTGGGCCCCCGTGGCCCTGCCTCAGCCATGCACGCCCCCCACACGCCCCCGACCTCTCTGCGGCAGCTCCACATGCAGGTCGGGCTCCAGCCACCAGCACACAGGCTGAGGACGTGCTCCTGCAACACTGACCAGAGGCATGAAGGAGGCCGTGGTCAGGAACAGAGGTTGCTGGCACCTGGGTGCACAGCCACCTGCCCAGCCGGGACCACACAGGCCCCTCCCCCAGCCAGGACCAAAAAGGCCCCCGGACCGTTCAGTGCCGAAGTTCCTCATCCATAAAATCAGAAAAAACAGGACCTGAGCCTCCAGGCTCCACAACACAACAGGCAAGCCCAACCCATCCCTCGAGTGAAAATCTGACTGGAAGTTAACGTACGAGAAGGAAAACTCCTCTCAAACCCCGCTGACTGCGGGCCACCTCAGGCCGTCACTTAACTGCACATGAGAAAAGCTCAGAACACATTCGATACAACTCGGGCATAAGCCTCTCAGACCCCGTCCATGTATCAGTCAGGATCCTAGAATTCCAGTCCCTGGAACTTGTCACATATTCCAAATGGCAAAATGGTTATCTAATGTAAACCAGCTACTCTAAGAAACTAAAAGACCTAGTTAAGTCTGCAAGAACAATTCTGCAATATTTTGCCCACCTGGCCACCCACGATGTCAATCAAAGGCTTCTGTATCGAAGCCACAGATGCTTTGGAAAATCACAGCATAACACAGGCAGACATTTTAGCTCACGAGCAGCAACCACACTGTCCCTCCAACAACCCTGCCTCGAGCCTCCATCCTCTGCAGTTCTGAAGGGATAAAACTGCATACTCTGCACCTTCTACCCTGAGGAACACGCATCCTTTCTTGAGGGCCACAGTGCTCCACAGGCTCAGTGCCCGTGCACAGCAGAGGACCTCCACACGTGCACATGAAGGGCCCACAGCTGCCCTGGACTAAAGGGACGCCCCAGAGCCTCTGGCAAAGGCATCACTGTGACCGGAAATCCCAACGACTCAAAATGCAAGCCCCTTTCACCAGTTCACAGTGCAGACCCTGCTCCTCCTGCCTGCACTGTCCTGCCTCACCATGTCAGCAGACACCAACCTGAGCACACAGTGGAGATGAGCCTTCTGCGAGCTGCACATCCGTCCCACAGGCTCATCAGACAGGATGGAATCCCAACTGTGGCATGGCCCCCACCCAGCTGACACACAGCCCCGGGGAAGTCAGCCCTGGCAGGGCCAGCTCACAGCAACAGCCCGAACCTCTGCACTCGGCAGACTGAGTCATGGGTACAGCAGAGCCTGCGGGAGGGCAGGTGCAAGGGAACTGACCGGGACCGACGGCACAGCCCAGGAGGTGTCTCCTTTCTTCAGATACTAGAGTCTCAGGGGTCTGGCACCCAACGGCTACAGCTTGTTCAAGCTACTTCAAATGGAAGCAATGTAAGTATGACATAGGTACTGTTAAATTACAATTTAAGTGAGACTGTATATTTGCCATTGAGGAATTACTATCTTTTCAGGTGTGAAAATAGTGTGGTTATATTTAAGAAAAATGATGGAGAGGCGTTACTGATGGGAACGTTCCTGCTGGATTTTTAAATGTCTGATTCTTGGTTTTTGTCCTATTATAAGTAGCATAAGTTCACATTTCTATACCAACTAACAAGCTTGCTTGTGGCTGTCTTCCCTAACACTGTGTGACGTCCCCATTCCAGTCTGGCACTTGCCTCTCCAGAGACCCCCATCTTCTCTGAGGGGCAGGACCCCGCCCACCTCACCTTGGAGTGGACCTTCAGGCCACTTGCTTCTCCACCCACTTTCCTGTCAGCTCACAGGAAATGCCCTTTTCATCCATGGAGTCACCATGAACATCGGGTGTAACAGGTGATTCAAGGCCACCTGTGTCTCAGTCACACTGTATGTGTTTTCTTTAGAATGACCCCAGAAAAAAACTACATAAAAATAAAATGACTCCAGAGCTACAAAGCAACAAAAACGGTCTCCAAGGGCTCCTGCTAAGCGTTGGGGGGTATGAGGAGCCACGCTCACCACAGGGGAGGGCCAACCGGCTCCAACCGTACGAGGTCCTCAGCCCTGCGACCCAATAACCGTGCGGGGTCCTCAGCCCTGCGACCCAATAACCGTGCGGGGTCCTCAGCCCTGCGACCCAATAACTGTGCGGGGTCCTCAGCCCTGCGACCCAATGGCGATGGAGGAAGCCACTGATTTAAAAAAACTAAAAAGGTAACTTACTGCTCTACAGTGAAAATGCTACAACTGTGTGGGAAGAGAAGCGCTGGAAGCTATTTTGAGACTGGTGAGTGGACCTGCTAGCAACCTCCTCACAACTCAGTCCTCAGGGCACAGAAGACAAGGACGGAAGGGCAGTCCACCTAGAGGGAGGCCCGCACAGCCTCGGTGGGACGCCTCAGTGAGCTGCATGAAAGCAAAGGCTGCGGGACCAGGTACCAACCTGGACTCCTGGGCACAGCGGGGCAGCCCAGGGCCCAGACAGCTGTGGCTGCCAGAGGGTCCTCTAGGCAAACGTTCCCCAGAAAAAACACGAGGCCCCCAAAGCAGACGAGGGATCAGGTGCTCACAGTAACAGCCTTTGAGAGAACAGAAAAGCAAGCGCTCACCTTGAAACAGAAAAGTCTTTATTCTACGGACCTAACGTAATTGACACCAGCCCCAAAAGAGACATTCTAGAGTCTGGGTACTATACTATGGTGAGCTAAACAGAAGAATGCCAACCCAGAAAAACAGGCACAGAATGTGGAAAAGGATGCGTAAGAAATTCTCAGCTGCATGCACAGGAGTAAGTTTCCAAGAGAAAGAAAAGCTTAATGGCTCTCATTCAAGTTGCCCAATGCCAACAGGATAAAAGGGGCGAAGCTCTGCAGACAGGAGCCACACGAAGTTCGGGGGATGAAAAGGGCCCTGAGACCGTGAAGATCCACTGACCTGTGCGGCATCATGAAGACACAGCGTCACTCAGAGCACAGACGTCCATAAGAGATGAACGTCTTTGTTTCAAAAGAAAATTGTACAACAATGCTGTCTTATTTCAATTGTTTGCTGTTCTGACTTTGATGTGCAGGGGAAGGGCAAGAAGGCCAGGACCCAGCCGCTAATGCTGTGGCGAGAGGGTCTGACCCTACTGTCTGCTTCGTGTAACCGGAGCGTGTCAAGGTCAAGGTCAACTACAGAGACACCGGGCAAAACACAGCGGCAATGACTTTCTACCAGTGTCTCCAAATCCAATTTAGTTTTAAAATTCCCCTTTCACCAAATACGGGACACACCAGCTCTACCTCCTCACCCTGCCAACCTAGATGTACACAAACCATCGCTCGTAAACTCCCTCCTCACCACCCCAAGCCTACATCTGCCCTGGGTTTTGCTAGTTCTCCTTCTGGATAGATGGATTTCTTCCCCTACATTTATTTCTTAGTCATTAAAGCATCTTTGCTGCCGGGACCCTTCCCTAGACTCTTTGACAACGATCACGGCAGGCTGCTACCTACCGACCGCTGCAGAGGAGCTGGTCAGGGACCCTCGGGGCAGACGAGGCCTCTGCGGTCCTGTCCCTCCCTTCACAGCATCAGGGAGGAGCCTTTAAGTGATCATAATCTAAAACGGCCCTTTGAAAATGCCACATTTGATGGCCTAGTGTATCATTAAATGGCTTCCTGTCAATTTACAAAACAAAACAAAAACATTTCTCACTCTTATCATTCAAGCTACCTTTACTCTTCAACATAGATCTAAAACCATTCTTTTCAAATAGTTTTTCAGGCCCAAGTTAAGAGAAAAATTTTATTCTGTGCCTTAAATTTTATCAACTAATTACGTGAAAAAACACAGACAGCACAAATTATACAGTCTCTTTTGAAGGAAACAACAACCCAGTGGGAAAATCAAGTGTTCCGGGCTTTGTGAATTTTATGGAACTGGTGCTAACCCGAGCCTCCATGCACACCAACGCTGCTGCCCGTGTCTGTGCCTGTGCCTGAGCCCTGACGGCAAGAAAGAGGGGCAGCCCTCACCACGGCTTACCTTCCTCACCCGCCTCCAGCCCCAGCGGAGCTCCATCCTCGTCACAGCCTTCCGAGCCTGGCCCCGTGGGTGGGGGCTGGCTGTGCTGCTGGCTCAGCTTGTTTCGGAGAAGGGCAATTTCCTTTTTGAGCAGCTTTGCCCGCTTGCTCCGGGAGCCACTGGACTTCATAGCGCAGGTGAGGTCGAGCATGTCCAGCAACTCTCTCAGCTGCTCCTCCAGGCCCAGGTGGGCTCTGTTGGCGGGGTCCAGCAACCTGTCCACTGAACCAAAGGACACACGCTGTCAGTCATCAGGTCCCACGGCACCTTCTGGGAACACATCACCGGTCCCATCTTTCAAATCACCTTCGGCCAAGGCCCTGAGAATGGCTGTTAGCAACGAGGCCCAGGCCCTGCTCACCAGAGGCCCCAAGCGGCCCCTCCCCTGCGCTCTGAACCCACCATGGGGCTGCTGCTACAGAAACACCCTGGGATGCTCCTGATGGAGAATTTCTACTCCCATGACAGTCACCGCAGAAGGGGCAGCGTCCAGGTAACATCGCAACCTCTCCTGGACCAGGACCCTCTGAGGCTCCCTGTGCAGAGAGCCCGGCTGGCTGGGTGAGGGCACAGCACACAGACCCCAGAACAGACTCCCAGAGAGCCCGGCTGGCTGGGCAGGGCACACACAGACCCCAGAGAGCCCGGCTGGCTGGGTGAGGGCACAGCACACAGACCCCAGAGAGAGGCGCACGCTCCACCAACCCAGCACAACTCAGATGGACCTGCACTGGCTCTGCAAACAGAGGTGACGACTGGCAAATGTGTTAAGTTAGGGCCACGGCACGTCCTGAGCAGTGTCTCGGCTTAAGGATTCAGACGCTGATCACTATGTGGCTTTATTAAACGGGCTGTAAAATTCACAGATCATTCTGAATTTCAGGCGTATTTACTACAAAGTCCCTAAAAACTTCACTTTCAAAAACACCAAAATGTATAAAGCACAAATTACCTTAAGTAAGAGGTGGCCAAGAAAAGAAACTGCTCCTCAGAGCTGTCTGAAGATAAAACCAGAGCGAGGAGAGAGGACAAAAAACAAAGTAAGACTGCCCAAAACACGTGGATTCTCTTCATCTAAACACAGGTGTTTTACTGAAAGCATCTGTCTTTTTGACTGAATAAGTAAAGCAGTAGCAGAAACAAAATGCTTAAATCATTACTCCTTCAAGACTTGTATCCATAACATCACTTTGAACAAATGTCATAGATAATACTCAAAAATGTTCATACGAAAAACACATCCTTTGAAAAGCCAAGAAGAAAGCCTCGAAACCTCTGTTTCTTTTAAAACAAGAGACCCACGGCCTCCAGGTCTGTGGCTCGGGCTCCAGGCAGTGGGAGGTGTCGGCTGTGCTGAGAAGGGCAGCAGGTGCACCCTCAAGGCACACCGTGGCCACTGGCTCACCTGTGCACTCTGAAATACTGAGAAAGAAGGAAACTAGGACTTCTCATCCTTCATTTTCTCCTTAGCAAAAAAAACCCGAGTGTAGAAATTCACTTAACAACTTGCATGACCACGATCTGAAAGACGCTGACATTCAGAGACCTCCACATCGCTCTATTCGAGGGAGGTGGCGTGGTGCTGGGAGCACGACGTGGGGGAGCACAGGAGCAGGGCCCTAGGGGCAAAGGACGCTCCAGGCTGCTCAGAAGACAGGGAGTCCATGCGTCTTCCTGCTTTTAAGGGCAGGCAACCAGCATGCATCCTGAATGGCCGGCACCGGGCACCAGGTGGGCGTCTGACAGCTGATGGCAAGCAAGGCATCCAAGCTAGAGCGGGAAGGCTGTGGGGGGCAGGGGGAAGCTTTCCCATGGTCACCAGAGGCTAGAAAAGGGCCTTCCAGGACAAGCATGAGCCCTGGGCTCACTCTGAGGCGGCTCAGCCCCAGCTCCTCTCAGATCCTCAAGGGAACGTTTCGGAAAACGATAGCTGGTCTGATCAGCCTGGAGAGTGCAGCTTCAGGGAGGGGTTAAAGCTCCACCAGGGTTCACCAAGAGTCAGCAGCATTGTTTGGAGCTTGTGTTTACTTTCTGAATTTCTCCAAGAAAAATGTGTTACTCTTAAAATCAGAGACAAAGCATAAAAATATAATCCCATTCTGTTTTTTCTTCGAGACGGAGTCTCGCTCTGTCACCCAGGCTGGAGTGCAATGGCACAATCTAGGCTCACTGAAAGCTCCACCTCCTAGGTTCACACCATTCTCCCGCCTCAGCCTCCCAAGTGGCTGGGACTATAGGCACCCGCCACACCGCCTGGCTAATTTTGTTTTTGTATTTTTAGTAGAGACGGGGTTTCACCGTGTTAGCCAGGATGGTTTCAATCTCCTGACTTCGTGATCCACCCGCCTCGGCCTCCCTCTTTTTTCTTTTTTTCTTGGAGACAGGGTCTCACTCCATCACCCAGGCTGGAGTCCAATGGCACGATCTCCGCTCACTGCAGCCTCCGCCTTCCACGTTCAAGTGATTCTCCTGCCTCAGCCTCTGAAGTAGCTGGGATTACAGGCACGCGCCACCACGCCCGGCTAATTTTTTTGTATTGGTAGTGGAAATGGGGTTTCTCCATGTTGGCCAGGCTGGTCTCGATCTCCCAACCTCAAGTGAATCGACCTGTCGGTCTCCCAAAGTGCTGGGATTACAGGCATGAGCCACAGAGCCTGGCCCTATTCTCATGCTTTAAAAGAGTACAGCCCATCCTCCAACGCTCACAGGTGCCAAGTGCTTCGGGACCCCACAGGAAGCAGGGAGCCAGCACTGTTGCCATGAGGGGAACGGACGGTGAAGCAACGACGGCCCAGCTTGGCTGAACCCCACGATGGCAGGAACATGGAGGAGAGAAAGAGGGCCAGGCCTCATCCCAGAAGAAGCAACCTGGCACGGGTCAGTGATTCATCAGGAGAAAGGGTAGGCCAAGAAATCAGGGATATGGGACCTTCTGATACATGAGCCAAACACACCATGATTTCTGCTCAGTTTGTGGCTCAGAGCTGGAGCTGAGGTGCAGGAGCTCTAGGTGCTCTGACAACCCATGTGGGCAGGACACACCCTTCGGCAGACAATCCCGGAGGTGCAATCAACAAGCAGGGTGCAGGGGACACCCCTGGTTTCCGAGGACCGGTCCAGAGAAGGGTGCAGGTGACTGCACACGGCTGCAGCACGTGCCTGGGGAACTGAGAAGCGCAGGCCCTGGCTGGAGCCCAGGTGGGCCGTGAACATGCCCCTAGAGCCCTTTCTACAACATGCGCAAACCACAAAGGTAAAGGGCCGGAGGCAAAGCCAGAGTTCCTCCGGCTTCACGCCACCCTCGGAAGTTATCCACTCCTAGAGGCCCACTCTGGATGCAAACCCCCAACTAAGCTGCTTTCTGGGTCTGCATCATCGAGACCAGCCACCCCGTAGGGAGCCACGGCCACATGGGTCCTCCTGGCGGGCACCCAAAACACACAGCCAGTCTGAAGTGACAGGTGTTGAGTGTAAAATACACATCAGATGGCAAAGAAAGCTTATATATCCTCAGTAACGTTTACACTGATCCCATGTTGAAATCAACTCTTCCATATACTGAGTAAAATAAGATATATTATTAAAATAAATTCCACCTGCTTTTTCTCCGTTTTCCAGTGAGACTACTAGAAAATGTAAATGATGTATGCGGTTGCGTGCAAGTCCTCCCGGACCGTGCTGATATGGAGCTGGCAACACAGAGCAGGACAGAGTCTGCTAGAAAGAGCGTCTTCTAGCTCCTCCGGACACAGCGCCAGTTCTTACCGTCTTCCCAGGAGAAAGGCCGCCGCGGTGCCGCAGCGGGCCGCTCAGCCAGGTGCATCCCCGAGGCCTCTTCCAAGCCGATGCTGTCCACCTCGCGCCGGGCCTGCCTCAGAACAACACCTCCCTGATCACGCAGCCTCACCGCGGCTCTATAGAACACGGTGTCCCTGGCATTGTACTTCATGCAGTTATCTATAATGAGATCAAAATCCTCCTCAAACTCATGGAGGTTTTTATACCCTTGAGCTTCTAACCGTTTCCTCATCGTGGCAAAGTCCATGGGCTGTTTAATGTGATCCAAATAATCTGGTACCTAATTTTAGGAAGGAAAAAGAATCATTTACAAACTAAAACAGGATATTAGTTTGCTCTGTATTTATTATTCCATAGAACCCACAAGCCCATCCTATCTGAGAGCCACGCACACACACACACGGTACAGACACAAGACCCAAGTACTGCAGGGACCTTCCCGACCCCAGCTCCTTCAGCTAAAGCACACTGGAGGGTGCCGGGCGCATGCTGCCACAGCTCAGGGTACTGTCTGCACAGGGCCTCTCACCCACTGCACTTTCAATATTTTACAGTGAAATACACCACTTTTATCATTTAAAAACAAATATGTTAAACAAAAATGAGAATTAAGAACACAAGGGACGTACTCTAGCCAGTCACACGTTTCCCAGTCAAACGGCAGCACAAATCCACAGTCACACGTGCGGCAGGACAGACGAGCGCCGCAAACACCCACCTCCTTCAGACTCACGGGCTGTGCAAATATCCTGGCAGGGTCCTTGTCCTGCAGCTGGTCCAGCACTGAACGCAGCAGCACCGTCAGCGGGGTCAGCCGCAGCTCCATGGCAACCTGCTCCACCTTCACCTGGGGGGGCCCAGCAGAGCCTCAGCTTTAGGGAGCCCCACACGCACCCCACAGCCACACGCACCCCACACGCACCCCCACAGGCTCCTGGGCTTCTGTCAAGGCAGGGGTCAATGCAGCCTCCACTTAGGGCCCTGCGACCCATGGCAGCCAGGCACCCGGCCTGGGCTGAGCAATGCACTGCCGTGAGCCAGGACCCACAGGGTGCAGCCCACCCTCTGCAGGAGCTGCCAGCATCCCACCCACACCCATGGCCAGTGGTGCACTCCATGCGGGACGGACCCACCCACACCCATGGCCAGTGGTGCACTCCATGCGGGACGGACCCACCCACACCCATGGCCAGTGGTGCACTCCATGCGGGATGGGCCCAGCCCCACCTGCTCACGCTTGAGCTTCTCCCGCTTGCGCAGCAGCTCGATCAGCAGGCGGGCGCGCTCCAGGTCATGCCGCAGCCGCTGCCAGTACTTCAGCTTCTCTTTGGCAGCCTTCATCTCCTCATCGTTTTCTCTCTAAGAACAGCGAACACTTCCATCAGTCAAACCCAGAGGCTCCTCCTGCAAAAGGCCTCAGATACCGCGCAGGTAAGACCCCAGGAGGTGTCCACGGCAGGGGTCCTGCAGGCCCATCCTGGGGAGGACAACAGACCCACCCTCACTAGAGAGCCCCGGACAGCAGCGGGACAGAGGGGACAGAGGAGATGGAGGGGACAGAGGAGACAGAGGGGATGGAGGAGACAGAGGGGACAGAGGAGATGGAGGGGATGGAGGGGACAGAGGGGATGGAGGAGACAGAGGGGATAGAGGAGATGGAGGGGATGGAGGGGACAGAGGGGATGGAGGAGACAGAGGGACAGAGGGGATGGAGGAGACAGAGGGATAGAGGGAGATGAGAGGGATGAGGGACAGAGGGGATGGAGGGAGACAGAGGGACAGAGGAGATGGAGGGGATGGAGGGGACAGAGGAGATGGAGGGGATGGAGGGGACAGAGGAGATGGAGGGGATGGAGGGGACAGAGGGGATGGAGGAGACAGAGGGGACAGAGGAGATGGAGGGGATGGAGGGGACAGAGGAGATGGAGGGGATGGAGGGGACGGAGGGGATGGAGGGGACAGAGGGGATGGAGGGGACGGAGGGGACCACCAGGCCAAGGTGAGCAGGGAGCTGGCTCCGATGCAGATTCCACCGTCCAGAGAGAACAGAGGTCTCCACAAGCTGGCGGGGAGGGGCCTTCACAGAACCAGAAAGGCCCACAGAGGTGGGACCAGGACAGAATGGGGGGCCCACGAGGACCCACCTCAAGGACAGCTGGGAATGGAGGGAGCAGCTTTGAAAAGAAACCAGGTGCATAGAAAACAACATGCTGGGCCCATCCTGGCTTGGACGGAGCATGACGGGGGCCTGGCACACAGCCGACCTGCCGCCCTGCCCTGCACAGCGCCTCCATCCCGACGCACATTTCCCCGCAGCCAGGGTCCCGTCTCCATCGACAGCACCTGCTCCCTTCTCAGGGGGCAGAAGGGTATGCCAGACAGCACAGGCCGCCAGCCTCACCCCAGCGCACATCCACGCCAGGATGATCAGAAGAAAATCAGAGCCCTGCAAAGGCCACGACACAGACAGTCGCAGGAGAGGAGGCCACCTGGGTCTGCCCTCAGCCCCGTCCTCACCATGTCCCCCAGGCCTGGCCATATGAGGCCTGCTCATCACACTGCCAGGGGCACCCTGACCCTACCTCAAAGGGGAGAGGAAGTCACCGAGTGAGTGGGCCTGAGCGGGCCCCCGACGCCTGTCGTCCTCACAGCTGCAGGACACGCACGCCCTGGCAGCCTCAGGCCAGCTGTGGCCATCGGTTTCTGGCACATGCTCCACAGCTCTGAGACCCTCCTCTCCCCCAGTGCCTCTGTCCCCAGATTCCCACCCGCCCACCTCAGGGTGCCGTCACAGCATTTTGAAGGACTGAGGGTGTGAAGGCAAAGACTGCTGGACTACAAGATGCAAGGACCCCGGACTCCAAACTGCTCAGAAAAGGAGGCTCAAGGAGGGAGACCGAGTCCCGCACCCCCAAATCCCCTGAGGCCAGGCCTCTCCAGGGCGAGGCGGGGCACTGAGGTGCCAGTGTCCTCTGCAGTGAGGATCTCTGGGTTTTCCTCAATGCTGCTGAACACCTGCAGGCAGGAAATCGGGGCTAACAGTAACAAGGTCCACATCAACTCAAGCAAAGACAGGAAAGCATGGGCTCCAAACACCAAGCTCCCCAGAGCATCTCAATACTGCCTGTCCCCCAGCTTGCAATCGACACTTCTGAAAACCGTGGCCAAAAGGACGTTTGGCATGGGAATCTGTTACGAAGCAGAAGAAATCTCATCACCTGAAAGTCCTTTATCACACACTGGCTGCTGAGTAAACTTACTAGTCTGCTCCCCAACCTGGTTTAACAAAGAAACGCCACTGGCAGCGGCAAGGGCCCCATCAGCGGCACCTGGGCCCTGAGGCCGACCGGCCTCCCGGCTTCGCCATGCAAGGTCCCATGACACATGCAGCCTCATCCACTCGGAAGGACCGAGGTTCCTTACTCAGCTCTGAAGTGGTTATTTCCCATGTAAAAATCAACACTGGGAGGCTCCACAAGAAAGGACAGAAGTGAAGGAGAAGCACTCAGGTGTCCCCACTGCCAGGAAGAAGCACTGAGCGCCTCCGCGTCCATTCCAGACACACGGGGGAGACGCAGGGCTGGGGAATGGTCAGGTTAAAATCCCCTCTGCTGGGAGGCACAGACCAGCTCCTGGAGTGAGGCCCAGTGTTACAGAGTGGCCGCTCTCAGCCTCACCGGCCCCAGGCCTCCTGGCAACAGCACCCGGCTCCTGCCACTGGGCCCAATGCCGCCACCCGCTCCTGCCACTGGGACGGGCAGAGGCCACACCCGCAGCACAGCAAGGACAAGGTGGGCAGCAGCGCCCAGCATGCCCCAGAACAGACACTGGGAAAGCTGGAGGATGTGCTCCCAGGACAGGAAGGATGGGCCACGGGAGCAGGAGACACAGTGTGACGCCACCAGCATACGCACAAATTGCTGCTCACCCTAAAGCTAAGCCACCGCCCTCGTTCTCCCTGCGGCCTTCAACAGCCGCACACGCCAGAACAAACACCAGGGCCCCGCACGCGCAGCCAGCACAGACCCGCCACTGCTGCAGCATCCTCAGCGCCTGCGGGCCTCTCAGAGACCCCATCCAGCTCGTCCACCTGCTCCCACCCCAGGGTCCTCTCCCAGGGTCAGGCTGGGGCAGGAACACAGAGACACAGAAGAATCAAATGCATCAGGTACTTCCAAAGCTTCGAAACCATGAAACCGCACCACGCTGTGGCCGTCCCTGGCCAGAAGGTAGAAGCACAGTCTCTCCCAACAGCCCATCCACACAGAGGCAGGTTTCCAAGCTCTCCACGCCGACTGCTGTGCTGTGGTTCAAGTCTAGGCAGCTCCTTCTGCCCCTTGCCAGGTGTCTTCACAAAGCCGCCCCCTCTGCTAGAAGAGCTGCTCCGGCCGTGCCATGGGGCTGTTCCCTCCTTACAAACATATTCTGCACACGACAGGACGTGAGGCCTAACAGGCAGTGGTGAAGCAGAGGGGGCCCAGCTGGCAGGTTCCAGCTGGTCACCTCTTCTTTGCAACCCTCTCCCTGCCCTTGCCTGGCTCTACCACACCCCAGGCCACCCCCAGCCGCCTGGGTCCCCGTGGCCCCTGCCCACTGGCCCACGTGTCCTGCTACAGCAGGGATCCTGGCCCTCGTGTCCCAGTTCCTGAGAGTAGAAATGAAGAGTCCCACCACTGGACGTCCCCTGTCTGGCCACATCCACGCCCACTTTCCATGGAATCCGCCCTTCACAGCTCCTCTGTGGCTTATCTGGAGTCCTGTCCAGCCCCAAGATGAGACCCAAGATCTGAATCCTCTGCTTCCTCCCAGCCAAGCCTCTCTTCCATCCCCCAACATTGCAGGGCCAAGACCGATGCCTCCAGTCCCCAGAGCTTCCCGCCGCTCAGCCACTTCCTGACTCTGCCTCTTCAGAGCACCCCCCCAACTGCGCTCTCCTTCTGGGAGCCCTGGAGGCTACGAGGTGAGGACGAGGAGAGATGGAAAGCAAAGTCACATTACAGAACAGAAGATGCAGTTAACTCATTCAACAGCCAAAAAACATTCACTGAAGCCTCAACTCTGTGGCCATGTGAGGATCCCACTTGGAGAGGGACTGGCTCACAGACTGTCCGGGGAGCCCCAAGTTCCCTGGACAGACACACAGTGGGGCAACCCAGGTAGACGGCACAGGAGACCCAGAACACTCCACAACCAGGACACACCAAGGCCATCAGAAGACCCTGGACCCCACCACCAAATCAGACCCACAAATCACCAGCTGCCAGACCAGGGCGCCAGACTCTGAATTCCCTGGAGCATGAGGCAGCCACAGCAGGTGACTGAACAGGGCTCACGCTGCGGGGGCAGAGTCTGCGAGGCACAGACAGCACCGGCCACCGCACGGGAACCCAACTGTGAACCCTGCAGACTCAAGCTTCCCCTGAGCAAGTCGCCACCTCACAGTAGAGCAGGATGGTTCTGCTTCGTGCCCAGGATGGCAGTGAAAAGCACCATGAGGAAATTCCAAGAGGCGCTCAGGCCACGCAACACTGGCCGCAGATAGCTCTTCCAAAAAACCAGCGGCTCCTCACTAGGCAGCGTGGGCAGAGTGTGTGCAGAGCCATTTGTGTTTTCAATTTACTTTTGTGCATTTCACAAAAGCTACTTCACTCTGTAAACCCATTTTTTCAGAACTGTTTCACAATATCAGATGAGTCTATAAACTCAAACCTACTACCAAAATGTAAGAGTTTGAGTTGGTGCTTTTAAAAAGGAAAAGTCCTGCTCCTTCCCTTCCACTCTCTCAGCTCTCTTGAGCCCTCCCCACCCCATCACAGTCCATGCTAAACCAGCCTTCAGAGCAAGGCCCTCGAAATAAACCACTCCTCACACATTTCCAAAACCCACATTCCAGGCCCAGCACACAGACCCCCACCCACTGGCCCGGGTGCTCACTGGGTCCCACTCCTGCTGTCCTCAGCCTGGACACTCATGCAGCCACAGCGTAACACACCCCTGAGCATCCCCAGCCCCCAGAACTGGTCACTGCCCATCAGCATGTGTGCGGGTAGGGCGGGGCGGGGCAGGGGAGCACAACTCACAACCGAAGAAACACCCCCCCATGACAGGCATGGATGAGAATCACTCCCAAAGTCGCAGATCCAGAGCCCAGGGCACACCTAACTCCTCCTACAGGTCCAGGGCTGGACGAGACCGAGGCTTCCCAATGGGGAGCCTGGACCCAGGGGGCAGCACCACGTCCAGCCTGAACCAGGTGCCCTCTCCCTGGAGGGTGGGGGCGAGACACACAGAGAGGCTGTGGGGGCCGTGAGCCACATACCTGCTGTGAGCTTCGCTGAGACTGCAGGCTGGACTGGAGCCGCCGCAGCAGGGGGGCACCGTTCCTGGACAGCCGCTTGAGCAGCCAGTAGCTGTGGGCTCGCTCCACAAACTGCTTCTTCCGCTGAATGGCCACCTGATTCGCAATCCTATTTAACCTAAAACATAAACACTCAGTTTATCTTTGAAGCAGTACATTAAGATGTTTCGTCACATAAACTAGAAATGACAGTGTTACTGCTAATAAAACCATGTGTTCATACTTTTTCTCCCTAAGCCATGACACGTGTAATTTCTACTATCCCTAGTGCTGCTAAAATTCACAATCTCCAACCACTTGAAGATTTCATCCACTTTTTAGGTTGGGTGCAGTGGCTCCTACCTGTAAGCCCAGCACTTTGGGAAGCCAAGGCGGGCGGATCACTTGAGGCCAGGAGTTTGAGACCAGCCTGGCCAACATGGTGAAACCCTGTCTCTACCAAAAATACAAAAATATTAGTGGAATGTGGTGGTGCATGCCTGTAGTCCCAGCTACTTGGGAGGCTGAGGCAGGAGAATCCCTTAAACCTGGAAGGTGGAGGTTGCAGTGAGCCAAAATCACATGACTGCACTCTCAGCCTGGGCGACAGAGCGAGACTCTGACTCAAAAAAAAAAAAAAAAAAATATTTCATCCACTTCTCATTCACTACAACATTTATCAGATTGAACATCCAAAAGAAAACATGCTGAGCAAAGCCTTCGACAGTTTTCATTCTTCCTGTATGACCCCATCTGCACACAAGCTGACTTTAACCACATCTGTGGCAGTGGGCCCAAAACCCTAGACCCCGTCCACTCGGACACCATGGGAGAGGGGGCACTGGTCCCCACATCACCTCCAAGAGGAGAGAGAGAGCTCCAGGTATGAGCCGCTGACAGGTGCTGTTTCACTGTGCTCACTAAAATGACCTCGGCCATCTTCAAGTCTCCCAAGAAATGCAAAGTGCTGCCCCTGGGGGCACAAGGAGCCACTAAGACCCTCGGCGCCTCTCAACCACCAAGGGAACACCCAACACTGCCTCTTCCGGCAGGACCTGGCTCAAGTGTGGAGCCTGCAGGAGAACACCCACCAGACCCAGAACTGACCGTGAGGTGCCTCCTCACAGGTGACCTGCCAGGGGAACTTTGCCAGAGTGACCCATCACCAAGAGCTCCCGTGCAGGTGTGGAACCCCTTTAGGCTAAAACAATCCTGCCCACCACTCCAAGAGCAGTCTGCATGCTCAGGACACCAAACGCCTGCCCACAAAGCACACCCCTCCAAGGACAGCCAACGGAAGGAAGCCAGGGGCGGGGGAGGGAGTTGGCAGGTGCACTGGGACACTGGGCTCCAATCACAGCCCCACATGGCTCCTCCTCTGCAGACTGGGCTGCGCTGGGCTGGAGCTGGTCATCTCATGGGCTGTTGTTTTGGGAGCAGTTTGTTTTTACCACTTTGGACTGAGGCAAACTATGTGCAGTAAATAGCACAACCCTTAACTCTTCCGGTTCAGTGAGTCTTTTATTGTTTGTTTGTTTGTTTTGAGACGGAGTCTCACTCTGTTGCCCAGGCTGGAGTACCTCCGCCTCCAGGGTTCCAGCGATTCTTCTGTCTCAGCCTCCCAAGTAGCTGGGACTACATGTGCCCGCCACCAGGTCCAGCTAATTTTTGTATTTTTAGCAGAGACAGGGTTTCACCATGTTGGCCAGGCTGGTCTCAAAACTCCTGACCTCCGGTGATCCGCCTGCCTCAGCCTCCCAAAGTGCTGGAGTGACAGGCGTGAGCCACTTACTGGCCGCAGTGAGTCTCAACAGGAATGCAAACGTTTCCACACATGTATACCCTCAGGGTATTTTAATGACCAAATGATGCAATATAGATAGAAGTATTTTTTAACAATTTGAAGATCCAAAGAAATGCTACTTGATAATATGCTCATAAAGAAAGCATCCAGAGGCCAGGCACAGTAGCTCATGCCTGTAATCCCATCACCTTGCAAGGCCGAGGCAGGCGGATCACGAGGTCAGGTGGTCAAGACCATCCTGGCTAACATGGTGAAACCCCGTCTCTACTAAATATACAAAAAATTAGCCAGGCGTGGTGACACGCAACTGTAGTCCCAGCTACTTGGGAGACTGAGGCAGGAGAATCACTTGAACCTGGGTGGCAAAGGTTGCAGTGAGCCAAGATCATGCCACTGCACTCCAGCCCAGGCGACAGAGTGAGACTCCATCAGAAAGAAAGGGAAGGAAAAGGGAAGGGAAGGGAAGGAAAAGAAAGAAGAAAGGAAAAGAAAAGAAAGGAAAAGAAAAAAGAAAAGAAAAGAAAGAAAAGAGGCTGAGCTAGGTGCAGTGGGTCCACCTAAAATCCCAGCACTCTGAGAGGCCGAGGTTGGAGGATCACTTGAGCCCACAAGTTCGAGGCCAGCCTGGGCAAGATGGCAAGACCCCATCTCTATAAACAAATTTTTTTTTAATTAGCCGGGCACAGTGGAGCATGCCGCCTGTACTCCCAGCTACTCAAAAGGCTAAGGTGGGAGGATCCCTTGAGGATCTCCTGGGTCCCCAGGAATTCAGAGTGGCAGTGAGCCGAGATCATGCCATTGCACTCCAGCCTGGGCAAACAGAACAAGGCCCTATTTGTTGTTTGTTTTAGAGATGGAGCCTCACTCTGTCTCCCAGGCTGGAGTGCAGTGGGGCGATCTCGGCTCACTGAAACCTCTGCCTCCTGGGTTTAAGCAATTCTCCTACATCGGCCTCCCAAGCAGCTGGGATTACAGGCACTGCCACCACACCCCAGCTAATTTTTTTTGTTTGTTTGTTTTTTTGACAGAGTCTCACTCTGTTGCCAGGCTGGAGTGCAGTGGCACAATCTCGGCTCACTGAAAGCTCTGCCTCCCAGGTTCATGCCATTCTTCTCCTGCCTACAGCTGGGACTATAGGTGCCCGCCACCATGCCCGGCTAATTTTTTGTGCTTTTAGTAGAGACGGGGTTTCACTGTGTTAGCCAGGATGGTCTCGATCTCCTGACCTCGTGATCTGCCCACCTCAGCCTCCCAAAGTGCTGGGATTACAGGCATGAGCCACCGCGCCTGGCTCACACCCTGCTAATTTTTATATTTTTAGTAGAGATGGGGTTTCGCTATGTTTTCCAAGCTGGTGTGGAACTCCTGGCCTCAAGTGATCCACCCACCTCAGCCTCCCAAAGTGCTGGGATTATAGACATGAGGGAAGAACGAGAGAGAGAGAGAGAGAAAGAGAGAGAGAGAGAAAGAAGAGAAAGAAGAAGGAAGGAACGAAAGGAAAGAAAGGAAAGAAAAAGAAAGGAAAGAGAAGAAAGAAGGAAAGAAATAAAGAAGGAAAGAAAGAAGAAAGAAGGAAGGAAAGAAAGAAGGAAAGAAAAGGAAGGAAGGAAGGAAGGAAGGGAGGGAGGGAGGGAGGGAGAGAGGGAGGGAAGATTGTTTTTATTTCTTCTGACCCTTAAGATGTGAGAAAAGATTCTAACTTCATAAACAAGCCACCATCTTCTCCAGAGTCAGGGCTTCTGGAAATGTGAACAGCCCATGAGTTGTGAGCAAAAAAGGCTTTGATGAAAATGCTTTAAAAACTCAAGAGCCAGAGGCAGGGGTGTGCGTCTGTGACCCCAGCTACTTGGGAGGCTGAGGGAGCTCATATGAGCAAGAGGCTGAAAAACCCAAAATTAGAGTGAGGAAGAGCATGGAACACCAGCTTCCCAGCTGAGATGATGAGCCCCCACCTCAACTCAGACAGAAGAGTTAAGGGGAAACAGACCTCAGATGAGAAAACTAAGCAAAGACATACATATGACAACCACAGAAAGAAGTCCCTGAGGGCTGGCTGGACGGAGATGCTGGCAGAGCGGGCAAGATGAGGGCCTGGGTGCAGCAGCCGAGATGCCCACCTCGGGGAAGATTGTAGACAAGTCAGAACCCACACTAGGGAAAAGAACCCTGGAAACGAGGGGAGGTCACCAGAGTTCCAACATCAAGCGTTCCTTGGATTTTTGTTAAGCCAAGTCTACATGCTGACATCTAAATGCTTTACCATGGGACCCACTAAATGCACTAGGGAATGTATGACTGGAAGACTGATATTGTTAAGACGTCAATACCACCCAAAGTGATCTATGGATCCAATGCAATTCTTATCAAAACACCAATGATTTCTTTTGCAGAAATAGGAAAATACACTCTAAAATTCATATGGAAATTCAAGGAAACCCCAACAGCCAAATCACCTTGAAAAAGCTGGAAAAGTCACGCTTCCTGACTTCAGAATTTACCACAAAGCTACGGTCATCAAAACAGTGTGGTGCTGACAAAAGGACAGACATACAGACCATGGGGATAGCAGAGAACCCTGAAGCAAACCCTCCTGTATCCAGCATAGACTACTGACAAGGGTCCCAAGACCATTCAGACGGGAAAAGACAGTCTTTTTGGCAGATGGCACTGGGACCAGTAAATATGGCTATGCAAAAGAACGTGAAGTTGGACCTTGCCTCATTCCACATATAAAAATTAACTCAAAATCAAAGACCTAGACATAAGACTTAAAACTATAAATCTCTTAAAACAGAAGGGGAAAGCTTCATGACACTGGATTTGGCAATGATCTCCTGAATAAGACACCAAAGGCACAGGAAACAAAAGAAAAATAAACAGGACTTCACGACAAATGTTAAAATGTGTGCATTAAAAGACACATCGCAGAGTGAACAGGAGGAAACATTTTCAAATCACGTATCTGATAAGGGATGAATATCCAGAAATTCCTAAAACTCAACAAAAAATAAACAACCCAATTCAAAACTGGTTAAAATGCTCAGACAGACAATTCTTCCAAAGTACAAATGCTCAATAAACACAGAAATGCAAATCCAAACTATGATGTTACCTTCAAACCCATTAGAATGGCTACCAAAAAATACTAACAAAAATTAAAAAAACATTGGCGAGGATGTGGAAACCCCGAACTCTTGTGCACCACAAGCAGGAACGTAAAAAGGTGCAGCCACTGTGGAAAACAGTGTTGTAGCTCCTCAGAAACTTAAAGACAGAAATGCCGTGTGACCTGGCAATGCCACTTCTGGGTACACACCCAAAAGAACTGAAAACGG